CAGCAGGGCTACGTGGGTGCCCCTGGGTTCTCGGGTAGGACTTAACCCACCTAAACTCCATAGGGAAAGCCACACTTATCCCATTACACATGGAAAGGCAAATACTGCTATCCTACGAATTCTAAGGTAAGAGTAAAGACAAATGCAAGTGTGAAAATAATAACAAAACATCAATGAGTTTATTGTCTCTTTTGGTATTTGACATTTAACAAAAGTATGATGTTCTAGTCCTAATATTTATGTGTGTGCATGAGGATTTGCTAATGGTTTATGTTTTAGGGAATTGCATACAGTGAGAACTGGGGAATTGTATCTTAATTTGGAAGACAGGCTGCAAGGGAACATGATGTTTTACAACTTAACAGTTCATTTAGTCTGGGATTTTCAGTAATTCTGCTGATTACCACGCTATTGAGGTAGAGGCAAAATTGAGATTCAGAGCTAAAAATGTGATGCAGAAGATTCAAGGTGCTGACAATTCTATCACTTTCAGAAAAACAAGGGTTCAAGACATGCTCTCAGCAAACAAGATGCTTAATAACTGCGAGCACTTTCACATTTCCAGCAGCCTCTGCTCCAAATATCAAAGTGTCTGACTTTTTAATGAAGCAAATTAAGTGATGAGCTTGTTGAGAAACAAAAGGTAGCGAAAAGCATTTTTAATGAGTAACTCTGATTGTTCTGTAGGCTTTCCCAGGAAGCTGATAATAAAATTAACTTCAGTTTTCTCAAAACTAAGGATTTTATCTGAGATGTGATATATTTAAATGGTAACAATATTACAAAGATGAATAATAGTAGATTTTCTTTAATGTTATGTACTAATAGGTTTTCTAGCAAAATCTAAAAGTCCACAGCAAGGAATTTGCTGTCAGCTGGACACTAAAAGCATAAGTTTCCACGTTCTCAGCTGGTTCAAATCAGTGCTGCTTCACTGCGGTCCATGAAGCTACACTGTTTTACACCACCTGAGGATCTGGCCCAGAACATTTACCCTTGAAAAATTCAAGAGGACAGAAGCGAGGGGAAAAGCAGTTTCTAACCAGTCTGACAGATGAGGAATATCAAATGATGCAAAAGTGCGTCTCACCTGTCCCCAATCTCCTGTTTTCCACTTCGGACATCTGCCCCCTCTGCATTTCTTTTGCACATTGGGTTTAGCAAGGTGCTTGCAATAATCTTCTTCTACATGCCTCCCTTCCTTTGACAAACAGTACACAGCTCGGTGCTTTTGACCCCTTCCACAGGAGACAGAACACTGCAAATATAAAGTAACAAGAATCAGCTTTCAGACAGGGCCGTCTACATTGATACACACAGGCCAGGACTACATAGGGAATTTTGCTCCAACTGGACCAAAGGGGCCATCACTGGGTGCCCCGTCAGCCCCCACAGAGCTTGAGGGGGCAAAAAGGGGCAGAACTGAACATACCGGACATGTTCCCATTGCGTTTTGGACCACTTTCTTGGTCAAAATCCCTCCAAAATGCCAATATTGTTATAAAGCAGCTGGCATCCAGCAGGACTGGCAGAGTTTAGGGCACAGGTCCTGGAACTGCTCGGGTGGTTTCAAAGGGGCAGCGCCAGCTCACAGGGATCAAGGCAGGAACCCTGAGCATCTCTAAGGAGAACTCGAAAGGGACCATTTCCCTTCACCTCAGTACAGAGGGAGGCCAGGAGCTGGCAAATCGGGAGGGTACAGCATGATATACAACTTCAAGAGGGAAATAACCGCACAGAGGACAAGGCAGAGGAGAAAAACAGGGGCTTTCCATGTGCACGGTTTTAAAACTCATGTCTGTTTTATTCCGCAGCAAAAGCTGCAGACCCTTTTTCTTTTTTTACTAAACAAAGACGGAAACCAGGACATGCTCACCCGTAAGATTTATGCGTTTTGAAAACGACTCGGAAGAAGGCAAGAAGGCAGAGCACGAAGAATGAAAGCAGAAAGCAAATCAGCAGGTATGTTAGCTGCAAGCTTTGTAGTGAAGCAACTAATTTGAACCTCCCTCTGCAGGTTCACTGAACTTTCTCAAATGTGACCACTTCTGGCATGCAAACCCCAAGCAACTTCACTTTGATTTCAGATTAGTCTCCTCCAAAAGATTTAGGAATCAAAGGGGCCCGGAATCACGACAAGAATTTAATATGACAGTTTCTTGTTGAACAAGCCTCTTACTCAGCATGATGCACCCAGGGACTGTTTCAATTTCTTCATTACAATGTTATGCAAGTCATTACATGCTGCATCACCAGCATCCTGGTTTAATTCATGGGCACAAACAGCATTTCAGCCATCTCAATATAAATGCTCTGCTTTCTTTTCAGAACGGTGGAGACGATGCTCCTTGCTCCTTTTTGGAGTCACTCCATCCATAGATTTGCTAAGAAATAAATTACAGGCCAGAGTCTTCCCAGGCTCTGAATACAGTTGGAACCTAACAAAATACAGATTATATATGCAGCAGCTCTGCAAGATCCATTACACTCCAAATTGGCACGTGCATTGACAGCTGTGATTATTTTAAATTACAGCACTACTTCCAAATCATTCATCCCCTATGGTGTTAAGAGGTACACAAAGAAACACTGAGAGCGCAATAACTCGTTCCAAAGGCTTACAAAAGGAGGAGTTTAGACAAACGTGGCAAGAAAAGGATATAACTCATAAGGCTGTTGATGCTGAAAAGTATGTATAAGCAATGTCCTGAAAAAGGCATTTTTTCCTATTGTAAAAGCGCTCGTGGAGCCACAAAGCCAGCCAACTTCCCTGAAAATCAATGGGATTAAAAGGCCATTCGTTAGGTGCCTGGCCCAGCGCGGATCTGGCCGTGGGAGCCCGACCCTGCTCCGCATCCGCATGGATGCTGGATGCCTGGTGCGCTCCCGAGACCCCGCGGTGCATCCGGGAAGATGCACTCTGGGCAAAGATGGGAGAAGGGCACCTGCAATTTCTCAGCATGTTCAGCTTACCGGGCAGTGAATGTCAGCAGCAAGACAGAGATGTCAAATCCTACCAAACCCAGTTAAAAACTACTATTTCCCTCCACCTTTGGACTAGACACTAACACTGATACGTTTCACGTGAACTGACCACCAGTAAATGCTCTCCAGATGGTTTGGCACCACTGTCTCTGCAGCTAAAGGGACACACAGGGTGGCACGCGCGCAGTGGCGCACGTTGCGTCCATGGCATCATTGGACTAATTTCCATAATACTGAGATATAATTCTCAAGATGCTGCAATCAATCATTTTTATGCCTGTCTTTAATACAAATTAAAGATGGGCAGCTGTGCCTTTTTGGATCCAAAACATCCATTTGCTTTCACATACATGTGAGTTATGGGCTCATTTGCACTGACAGAGAAGGGAGGTTGAATAATTCTAACGCAACCAATTATTAGAGACTGAAAATTCCTTTACAAAGAGTCTACTCCATAACTGCCTTTTAATTCTTCGCAGGTATTTTCATCTTCTGTTTGGCAGGCAGAAATTAAGCATGTGTAAGCCACATGCAGAAAACAGCTTAATAGAGCACTCCATCTCTGTGCCACGTGACTTAGGGAAGCAATACACCTAGCTGCTCCAGTTGGCCTAATCATTTATTTTTGACCCTGGAAGAACTTTGCATTTCATTAACCAAACTCTTTTCATCACTGGAAATGCTGCAGCCTCTCAGGGTAGCTATCAATAACGATGCCATGGTGAGGTAAGCTTTGACCTTGGCTTCTTTAAAGCATTTGAAAAGCAGAGACAAAAACACTCCTTTCAGAGGTTTCTTTCTTTCTTTCTTCGGTTCCTTTTTTTTTTTCTTTTTTTTTTTTTTTTTTCCTCCCCTGTAGAAAGTACTTCAAAGGACTGGGGATGGCGGGTGCCTCCCTGTGGAATAGCAGCCTCATCCTAGGATCTTTGAAGTCAACAGAAAGACTCCTACTGGTTTCAATCATCTTGAGATCCAGCCCCGAGGGTGCAAGCCAAGGTACCGTGCTGGTATTTTTGCCTCCCAGCTTCCCAGGGTTAAGGATCCCATAGACGCAGACATGTCCAACACCAGCCTGCCCCAAACGCTGAGCAATGTTGCTCTGCAACGCTCCTTCCAGCCTATGGAAAGGGATGTGGCCCTGCAACAGCCACTGCAACGCCGGGATGAACCCTATGGGTTCTCCTTGCAGAGATGGGGACAAGGTGGGGGTGTCGTGGGGCAAGTTGAGGCCACGCATGGCACTGGTGCTGCATTAAACCTGCATGTGAGTGGCTGGAAAAGGCTGGACACTGCTCATGCCTCATGCTTTACATGCAGAATAAGGACTTCCCTAAGAGCACCTGAGTGCAGAGTTAAGGGAACTGCATTTATTGCACAACTGGGTTTGTTAAAGTGCCACGGATTGGCAAGTTGCTTGCTTACATGCAACAAAAAGTTTAAGTAAATCTGACGAAAAAAGTGTTCTCTGCTTCCAGGGAAGCCAGAACACGATGGTAAATGTATCCTGCAATGCCATGCTCTCTTCCCACCTAGCAAGCTTGTGCTTTCATGTCCACAGAAACTCAGTCTCTGAAAGGCCAAGGATGAGGAAGACTATTCTATTTTACCTGACAAATGTGAGCTGTTTCAGCACAGCCTCCCTAGCACTCGTGTGCTGATGATGAAGGTTCATCTCCTTGATCAAGACTTTGCTAAAGCAGCAAGGTTGTGACCTGATCCCAAAGCTCCTCCCAGGGTAGCAAACTGTCCATGGGAATCTAGGCAAATTTTCTGCTAAAAGAGAAATTTTCCAAAAAATGCCGTCACGCCACTTCTCCAGGCCTACGGTTTGGGAGGTATTCGAGATAACGAATGCAAGCTGTGGCAATCACCAAGCAAATTTCCTGAGATAAGTGCAACTCTGATATCTCACAAAAGGCAGGGGAGGGAAATTAGCCTAAAAACATCTTTATCAGATTCTGCCAGGGGCAACTTTTTGAAAGGAAATTAAAATCAACCCTTGTAGGCTGAGATTTCCATGCATTGAGGGTTATATTAGAAGGGAGCACTTGTTCGCTCTTCCCAACCGCCCGAACCGGAGCGCGCAAACGCTCGACGGAGAAAACCGAGGGAGAGGAGGGAGCCCCGCGATGCTGCTCCTCACTCCCATGTCCCCATTGCATTGGGGCTGTGCTCCTGGATGTCTTTTTGGCATCTGCAAGCACGAATCTGCATTTCAGCATCCTATTAGCACACAACCCTCTCCTGCTCTAACTTAAGCCCTCTTATCGGACGCTGGTAGCTTTGAAACCGCAGCCCTTTGACATCGCCCCTCCGGAGCCAAGATAAGAGCCGAGCGCTTCTTGCTGCTTAAAAACATCTGAGTCGTTGCACGTTATCCAGCAACAAGTGCTCTCTCTGTGGCACTCGAACACGAATGCCGTCGGCTTCAAAGCTGCAAGGCAGTGCAGCTCTGGCCTGATATTTTGCACGTATGCATGAACAGCCTCCCTCCTACTTGTCCGTTTGCAAGGCGGAGAAATAAAACAACCTTCACCTTCCTACCACTGAGGCCAGCTGGAGCAACTGC